TACGGGGGGCGACACTGAGGGTTGCGATCCGTTGCCGGACACGGAAAAAAGAAAAAAAAGAAAAAAAAAAAAAAAAAAACAGTGGCAAACAAAAGTTAAAGACCCTCTGCTACTGACGTCCCCAGGCTAACTTTCCAGAAACACTGAAGACCTGTGTTAATATGGAGCGCCACCTAGTGGAGCTCAAACTAACTTGGAAGCTCAAAGGTGTGCATTAGCGATCTTGCTGCCACTGTGACTACTTTAACTGACCAGAGATTGTAAATGTATTGTGCATTAATGTTAGCGCGAGAGAGATGAATGTGGCTATAAGAAGGGGACTCTACAGGTTTAAATAGTGTTATATCTCAACTTTGAAGCCTTTGGGTTGAACAAAGAACATAAAGAATTTTTTTTGATAGAGTTTTTATGTGTCTCTCTTGTATTTTCAACCATGGCTTTATAGTATGCTATCTTGGACCAGCTCCAGCTAGCTGACCAGGAAATCATGTGATAGACATAGCACAAAGGCACAGGAGAGCCAATGGTAACAGATTGCTCTCCAGGCAAAATTCTCTTTTTTGGCCACCAATCTACCCCTAACCCTTACATAGTAAAAGGTGGGCTGTAAACCTTAGCCCATTAGAGGTAATAACACAGATTGAGTTGCACTATTAACTCCAGAGAACTATATCCATGTTAGTAGTTATTATTTTCAGCTGGTAAGAGATTAATGATTGTGGTAGTCTTCCAGAACTGTATGTCTCAGTGTACATTTAAATGTTCTTGCTCTTGATGTCACTTAAGGTATTTTTTTTTTAATAAAACAAGAACTTACAGCATTGAAGTTATGCCTTAGATGAGAAATGGATAAAGTCAGCATGTAAAAGGAAAACTGAGTGTTAATAAAATATCCTCGATTATCTCTTAAGAAAGTCCATGAGGGAGATGAACATAGTACCTTAGTAAATACAACAGAGCTGTTTCTCTCTGCCTTGAGCACTCACATAAACGATTGTTTTTTTGATTGAAAAACAAATGAAGTAGTTGGCTTCCAAGATTTCCACCTTTAAAAACAAGAATTTTACTCAACGCAGTGAGATGCTCTGTACAATTTCTAGGCATCTAGAAATTGAGACTAAGTTGGATTTGAGTCACTCATCTCATGCTCACTCTTGGGAACATACTCTCTGAGTGCAACAGGTCTTCGTCCAAACCACATGTAATTTGCAGCAGAACTGAAGCTAGACCTCAAGTCCCCTGACTCCCCAAACAAGTGTTTTGTTTTATATTTTACTTTCCTTCCCTTGGAAATAAGTTAATGACTTCTATTATTGAAACATAGCATCTCTCCCCCCACCCCCAATCCAATATACTGTAAGAATCATCAAGAGAAAAAGCCCTATTGAACCAAAAGAGCCCCAGAGATGGTAGCTTAAAGTCAGAGAAACTTTTGTGAACCCATTGCTGGAGATTTGGGAAACAGATACTTTACATTGCTTGTTCGTAGCCAGCACACAGATCACTGCTGACAGTTGTCCCCAGTGGCATCTAGCCAGTCTGGAAGGAAAAGTTTTGCCCTGAACCTGAATCGGCTGTCTGTCCCTCTTCCACTTCTCTCACCAATAAATGCTTTCCATCACTCAGCCTCATCTGCGGTCTGAGAGTAGAATGCAGTGATTATTTTAGCTTGTTCCCAGAAAAATAGGAGCTAGTGCAGCAAACAAATGCATTATTTGGTCCAGGTGGGTGTTTGTTATTTAAGGCAATGAGATATTTCATTACAATCCCATCACACCATCAAAGAAGCCCCAGCTTGGGCACAGTTATCTGCGGAAAAGGTGTGTGTATTTTGTGGCTCTCTATCAGAGTCAGGGCAGCTGCGACTGGAAATGAGCAAAGCCTCATCCCGTCCAAAGTGCTGAAGACAACCCAGCACTTTCATGCTCAAATTTTCTTTAATCATCTACTGCCATTGTACCAGCTCTTGAAAGACCAGAGTTACCCTGAGCTGTCTCAAAAAAAAAAAAAAATTAATAATATAATGGTAAAGAATGATCAGGGAGGAGGAAGGAGAGGTTTCAATATTGCTGTCGCCATTAAGAGTGTGCAGTCCTCCAGACAGGCAGACGAAGTGACAGTCTTCCTTCCCTTAACTCATTGTACCAGCTCTTGAAAGACCAGAGTTACCCTGAGCTGTCTCAAAAAAAAAAAATTAATAATATAATGGTAAAGAATGATCAGGGAGGAGGAAGGAGAGGTTTCAATATTGCTGTCACCATTAAGAGTGTGCAGTCCTCCAGACAGGCAGACGAAGTGACAGTCTTCCTTCCCTTAACTTGCTTGGAGCTCATTCTGAGCTACACAAGTAAGATAAATGAGGCAATACATATAAAAGTGCTTTGAGCATTTTGGAGGACAGATTCTCTATAAAAGCAAGGTAATATTATTAGTAGTATGGACCTAGTCATCTTCATGGTGCGAGATCGATGTGGACCAGGATGCAGGTGGTGCAAAGGCCGCTTGATTCATGGCAGGAGACCCAGATTCAGGACCTGGATCTGTCACTAACTTGCTTGGAAACCTTGGGATGGTTTATCAACTTCTCTTTTCTCATTCTTTTAAAATAAGGAGCTTAGATTCACAACAGTATTTTCTCAAATATGTTACTGAGAATAAAATGTCCTTAGTGATGCTTCATGAAATTTTGGTTCTGTCATCAAATAAGTTTAAGAAAAGAAATAAACTCCAGTCTATGTTCTTTGCCCAGAGAGTAACTGTAGCTTGCTGGCATGTTGAAGGTTCTAGAATGTCCTAGGAGCAAAAAAGTTCTTTAATTCAGCATTAATTAAAACGTTTTACCAAAGGACACACATCCCCCTTTTTTAATCTGTGAAAACCCAACAATGCTGGCATGCTACAGAACTGACTTTTGAAAATGCTCTGATAGAAGATCTGTAAGATTCATAAAGAGCCGAAAAGGATTGCGTTGTGTAATGTTAAACATATTATCTTGATTTGAGCATCACATAATGCACATATGTATCAATATCCAATGCTGTACCCCACAGATATGTATAATCAAATATGTTTTGATAGTAAATAAATAAAAATAAATTTAAAAAATTCAAAAAGGAAATACCTCATCTTGGTTCAAAATTGTGTGACTCAGTGACAGTATTTTCTTTATAGATCCACTTTGGGAGAAAGACTACATTTTCCTGATAGAGACGGAGAATTTAGGCAAGAAGAAAAAAGAAAGATGGCATTTAGATATGTCAAACATTTCAATTAAAATATTTCAGACCAACATCATTTTTTAAATGTCTGTTTAATGTAATTAGATTATATGGAGAGAATGAGAGATCGGATCTCAGCCCATATCTAGAGATGGCTATTTTAATCTGTTACCATTACGTGACTAGTTCTCTAAGTGACCTAGATGAAATCACTAGATGCATCTCTATTAACAGTTTCAAATTTACAAAATAAAGGTTTGCATAGGGTGAAATGGTATAGGAGATCTACTTTAGTCTCCAGCCTAGGATTATTGAATCAAATGTCTAGTTTGAGGACCTCAGAGGTTCACCAGTGCAGAAATTCACTCCAAAATCACAGAAGTGAGAATTAGCAATGTGGAAGTCAGGTTAGTGTTGAAATATTTTAATGTGAATTCAGGGACTGTACTGCAATCTGGCTGACAAGGAAGGAAACATGAATTTGGACTAGTTGTTTGACAATTCTGAATGCCAGGGTAAGTGTTTGGTCTTTGCCCTACAAGAAATGGGGAGCCGTGGAAGGTTTGGTCCTCAATGGATGAATGGTCCTAAGGCTGATTTCCACAGCTGATTCTCTTCAGAAGCAAGAAGCAAAAATGCCTGGATGAACCATCTTTTATTGAGTATATTAGTCAGGATTCTAACATTTGCAATAAACAGAAAGGCCAGATCAAACTTACTTAATCATCAAAGGAGATTTAAGGGCTTGCTTACCTGAGAATAGTTAGAATGGATAAAGCGTACACTAAATGTCAGGAACTGTTATAAGGGCTTAACATTAATTTTATTCTCACAACTTAGAGGTGGGGGCAGCATACTATTTTCATCTTTATTTTACAGGTAAAAATGGTACACAGAATTCCTTTCTCAGGGTTAAGTTATAGAGCCAAGATATGAACTGAATTAGTGTTACTGCGAAGTCTGTTCTTTTCACCATTTTATGCATTGTCCTCTCTAACTGAAAAGTCTGGAGGTGGGATAGACTTCTTAGGTGTCTTCATACAAGGACCCAAAGGATATCATAGGATTGGGCTTATCTTTCTCCATCTCTTGACTCTATTTCCATCAGGATCTGCTTCATCTTCTGCCTCCAAGATGTGTCTCCAGAAGATCTGGATTTATTATTATTATTATTTTTAACTCTTACTTCTTACAAACCAATAGTAAGATACTTTTGTTCTCTTTCTCTAATAATTACACAGTCATTCTAGAAACATGTCTTATTGATTTGCTTGGGTCACATGCCCATCACTCATCCAGTCTTTGTTGTCATAGAAATGGGATATTCTGAATGCCAGGCCTACAAGAGCACTTCTGGTGCTAAAGGTAGAAGAAAGTAATAAAGAGTTTGGACTGCATATGGGGAGTAAATTTCTCTGAGAGAGAAGAGGTTGTTTGTCAAAGAATACCAAATTATAATTACCAGAATAAATGTAAACAGACAACAGGCTGATATAAGCAATGGCTAACTTATATACCAAAGCTTTGTTTGCATTATTGACCACATTGAATTAGTGGGAAGGACTCATTTTTGGCCTCCCCACTTTGGATTCTTTCTATAAAAATGTTACGAAACTCTAGAGCATGTCGTATGTAGCCTGAGTAGAGTTGAGAATACGAAACCCTTTGGGTGAGCACTTCTTCCTTCTGGGATTATATGAGTTCACTGTGATCCAGTCTAGAAAGGAGGGAGATTCTTGTTCCTACACATCTAGAGAGGAATTGCTGATGGATTGATTGAGAGAGGATGGGTATATATTACAGTGAGAGACTTACGTTAGAAGTTAGACTTTTCCAGGACTGGAATTATTACCAGTAAAGATTGTCAGATCTCCTGAAGCTTTTCAAAGATAGCGTACGGTCCCTCTGGGAAGATTTGAGTACCAAGCTACACAAAGGACAAGAATATTTCCACATTGTTTTTTCTTCCTGTGTGATTATGCAACTCTTTTTTGCTTTGTTTTGATTTTTGGTTTTTGGAAGTTATGCCGTGTCTACTGCCTTGGGCAAAGGGTAAAAGGTAGCCAAGAACATATGAACAGGCATCTCCTAAAGGAGACAGCAAGCCTTGGTCTGAGTCAGCAGGTTTTGGGCTGTGTTAGCCTTCACTATCTTGAGTTCTGAATGGAGGAAGAAAGGATTTAGAATTCCCACTCTGGGGCATCTGCTCTCTGCCTCCCTTGCCTTGTTTCTACCTTCTAGGACCACCAGGGTCTGAAAACATCATCAATTATGCAGACTACTTTTTCCCTCTTTCACTTAAGATTTGCTGCAGAACCTCTCAGAGTAAAGGTTTTGATAAGCACTAGGTCCTTGAATGCTCATTAACATGAAAATTAGGGTTTTCTGGTGAATATTTTCCTGGGGATGGGGCTTGCTGAGGGTTGCTGAACCTTAGGACAATGTATCTCAAACTTTCATGTTCACCTAAGAATCTTGTTATGGTGCAGACTTTTATTCCATAGGTGAGGCTTGAGGTCCTAAGCGTTTAACGGCTTTCAGGTGATACTGGTCCATGGACTACACTGAGAGATGCAGGGCTGGTCCATTTTCTTGTCCTTCCAGCTTTCCCTCATATTTGCCTCCTATAAGCCTTCTGAGCAAGCAAGTACTATATTTGTGCTTGGCAAATACATCAGTATGCTCGATGCCCCAAATAATACATATTTAAGAAAATATTTTTCAAATTGTCTAATGAGGCAATTAAATTATTACTGAGTTACCAGGCATCCCTCTATCCTATTTTCTCATGCTCTTACTGCCTAACCCCACAAGTGACAAAAGAAATATATGATTAACACTTAACTACATAATTATTTCTCATATATGCAAAAGGGAGTTCTCTGTCTTTCATTCACGTGCCTGTTCTGGTATTCCTCATTAGATTCCATACTCTTTGGGTACTTGCTAGGTTAAACCTATAAAACTCTTCTTCCTCTTTACTTCCTGTGTCTTTCTGCAGGACATGCATGTCATCAGCACAGATGAGAATCAAGTGTTTGCAGCGGTCCAAGAATGGAACCAAAATGACACATACAACCTCTATATCTCAGACACCCGTGGTGTCTACTTCACCCTGGCCTTGGAGAATGTTCAGAGCAGCAGAGGCCCTGAGGGCAACATCATGATCGACCTCTATGAGGTATGTCACGAGGTGTATGAAGTCCTGAGACACAGCAGGGCCCAGACTGGCTGATGAAGGCCCAGCACTGGCTATTTCTCTGATCATTTTCACACTGGTTCCTTATGTAGCCATATTCCACTTGGAAGACAGAGAGCTTTGCAGAATATTTTCATTAGTTCATTTGAAATCCACAGAACATCTCTGCGAGGAATTCTTTTTTGACCAAGTCCACAGGACATGAAGTCCCAGAGGACATGGAGAGTATCTGGGGAGACAGTGAAACAAAGGGTTTAAACAAGAGTGATCTGCATGTAATATTTGAAAATCAATTTTAAGGGCAAACAGGGCATCACATAAAGGGGTAGTGGTTAGTTCCCCCCCCACCCCGAAGAAAGAATGACAGAGACAGGAGACATCTTTGCATTCTATCAGAAGACGCCCCCTTTGGAGCAAACAGGGCATCACATAAAGGGGTAGTGGTTAGTTCCCCCCCCCCTCTCTGAAGAAAGAATGACAGAGACAGGAGACATCTTTGCATTCTATCAGAAGACGCCCCCTTTGGATTTGAAGACCTTTCTAACTAAATAACCTCCCTGGCTAATGGCATTCTTGTCACTGGGCCAGGCAGTGAGATAAGATTAATAGGGCTTTTTCTCCTAAATCTTGAAAAATAGAATAGACAAACAACAACAAAAACAGAGTGTACCACACTTTCCTAAGGGAACTATGGCTCTTTGTTTCTCAAAATGACCAAGATTCAAAATAAAACCACGTGTGCTGGATCAGTCAGCTTTCATGACAAACAGGAACGATTTAATTGCCATTTAAGGCACAGTTGGGTAGAAAGCAAACTGCTATTTTGGGGTGAGTTTTAGCCATTTGTCAGTCTTATCATGCACTATGAAGCATTTATAATGGGTTATAATGAGCCATTTAAAAACATATTCAGAATTTGGGAAGTGAAATCATACACCTATGTTCTATCTGAAAAAAAATTCTAAAATGGATTCAAATATGTACTGTTATAATGACGCTATCATTT